TGGCTGGTATGTCAGTACCTCAAACTCTCAGATTTACTAGTCACATTGGTAAGTCAGAATTTTCCTTACTTGTTGATGGTGGAAGCACGCATAATTTCCTTCAACCGAAAGTGGTGTCTACTCTGGCACTTTCCATAACCACTGACAAGCAGTTCGAAGTCATGGTGGGTAATGGCCAAAGATTGCAATGTGAAGGCTTCTGTTCAGCAGTGCTAGTGAAGATACAACAACATGCTTTCTTGGTCGATTTTTATGTTCTGCCAATCCAAGGAGCTGACATGGTACTTGGTGTCCAATGGTTACAAGTGCTTGGCCCTATTACATTGGATTACAAAAAACTCACAATGGAATTCATGTGGGATGGAACTACTATTAAGCTCAAAGGAGACAATCATACAGGACCTATCTCCCTTAATCAGTTCAAGAAAATCAACAATACAGGCCAAGTGGCTTCCTTGTTTCAGTTACAGATGTTGGAACCTTCTTTGAATACAGAATCAAAGGTCCATTGTTCTCAGGTACAACATCTTTTAAATGAATTTGATGCTTTGTTTCAAGAGCCTACTACTTTACCTCCCCATAGACAAATTGACCATGCAATCCATCTAGAACCAAATTCCTTACCTGTGAATGTTCGACCATATAGATATCCTCATTTCCAAAAAGAGGAAATTGAAAAACAAATAGCTCACATGCTTGATACTGGCCTCATTAAACACAGCACCAGTCCATTCTCATCACCAGTATTGTTAGTGAAAAAGAAAGATGGGACATGGAGGTTTTGTATTGATTATAGAGCCTTAAACACTATTACCATTAGGGACAGATTTCCTATTCCTACAGCCGATGAATTAATGGATGAGCTAGATCATTCTCAAGTTTTTTCTAAGTTGGATTTGAGGGCTGGTTACCATCAAATAAGACTCAAACCTGAGGATGTCTATAAAACAGCCTTTAGGACACATCAAGGCCATTATGAGTTTTTGGTCATGCCTTTTGGCTTGACTAATGCTCCTTCCACTTTCCAAGCTACAATGAATTTCATTCTTCAGCCATTTTTGCGAAAATTTGTGGCAGTATTCTTTGATGACATACTTGTATATAGTGCTTCTTTGGATTTGCATATACATCACTTGAGGCAGGTATTAGTGGCACTACAACAACATCAGTTCTTTATTAAAAAGAGCAAGTGTTCTTTTGCTCAAAAGGAGGTGGAGTATCTTGGGCATATAGTTTCCAATCTTGGGGTCAGCATGGATTCCAATAAAATCAAGGCAATGCTTGATTGGCCTCTTCCCAAAAATGTGAAACAGTTGCGTGGTTTCTTAGGCCTCACAGGCTATTATCGCAAGTTTGTACAACGCTATGCTTCTATTGCTGCCCCATTGACAGAATTGCTCAAGAAGGATGCATTCAGCTGGTCTAAGGAAGCTCAAGCAGCTTTTCTGGCACTCAAAACAGCCATGACCACTGCCCCTGTGCTAGCTTTGCCAAATTTTGAACAAGACTTTATTATTGAAACAGATGCTTCGGATCTAGGAGTTGGTGCAGTGTTATTACAAGGAGATCATCCTTTAGCATATTTTAGCAAGAAATTAACTCTCCGAATGCAACATGCTGCAGCTTATGTCAGGGAACTTTATGCCATGACTGAAGCAGTTAAGAGGTGGAGACAATATTTGCTAGGAAGAAGGTTTTTGCTTAGGACTGACCACAAAAGTTTAAAAGCTTTATTGGACCAAGTCATTCAGACTCCTGAACAGCAATATTACCTCACCAAATTGTTGGGTTTTCAATATGCTATTGTTTATAAACCTGGCAAGGATAATCGAGCAGCTGATGCTCTTTCTAGACAACCCGAAATTATGAGTTTCATGGCCCTTTCCACTAATCAGTTTCACATATTGGATGACCTTAGGCAAGAAAACATGACTTCAGATTTTTTTTTACAAAAATACAATACAGTGAGACTTGCTACTGCCTCAAACCAGGATTTGGTAATTAGAGATGGCTTGCTATTGCCAAAGGGAAAACTGTTATTGGATCCTGCTTCTCCTTTGGTTGGCCAAATCTTGCAGGAATGTCATTCATCTTTTGTTGGTGGTCATTTGGGAATACAGAAGACTACAGCCCGTATTGCTGCAACTTTTTACTGGCCGAGTATGCATAAGGATATCAAGCAATTTGTCCATTCTTGTTTGATTTGTCAACAGGTTAAAGTACCAACCCAAAAGCCAGCTGGCTTACTTCAACCAATTTTAATTCCTGAAAGGATATGGGAGGATCTTTCAATGGATTTTATTGTTGGCCTCCCAAATTCTTTTGGATATACTACAATCCTGGTGGTAGTGGACAGACTATCTAAGATGGCTCATTTTGGTTTATTGCCTTGCAAATACAATGCTATTAAGGTTGCTAACCTTTTTATCCAGATGGTATGCAAATTGCATGGAGTACCCCGTTCTATAATTTCAGACAGGGATCCTATTTTTCTTAGCAATTTTTGGATGCAATTATGGGAGTTGAGTGGCACTAAATTGAAGAGGTCCACAGCTTATCATCCACAATCAGATGGCCAATCTGAGGTGGTCAATCGGGTTCTGGAACAATATTTGAGGTGTATCACTGCTGAGTCTCCCAAGCAATGGTCTAAATTCATTCCATGGGCCGAATTCTGCTATAATACTGCTACTCATTCAGCAACAGGATTGACACCTTTTAAGGTGGTTTATGGTCGAGATCCTCCTTCTTTGAAAGATTATCTTCCACAGTCAGCAACTGTCCCTGAAGTAGATGACATGCTGTTGAATAGACAACAACTATTATTGCAGCTTCACAAGAACTTAGAGAAGGCACAACATCAGATGAAACTCATGGCAGATACAAAGAGAAGGGACATTCAGTTTAAACCTGGTGATTTGGTTTGGGTTAGACTCCACCCATTTCGACAGCAATCAGCAGGCCAGAGGATTTTTAATAAACTGTCCTATCGATTCTTTGGTCCATTTTCAATAGCTAAGAGGATTGGCAAGGTTGCTTATAAGCTAAATTTGCCTATAACAGCCAAAATTCATCATACTTTCCATGTGTCTCTTTTGAAACCCTTTCAAGGGGATAATGGTACTCATTCTTTTCCATTACCTGGTGCATTTACTGGTGGCTTACCTGTGTTGCAACCTAAACAGATTTTAGCTTCCAGACTTAATGATGAAGGAATTCAGGAGGTACAAGTACTTTGGGAGGATTTGCCTACAGAGAGTGCAACTTGGGAAACACTTGCCGCATTGCAATCACAATTTCCTTCTTTTAACCTTGAGGACAAGGTTGTTTTCCATGATGGGGGTATTGATACAATGAAGGGTCATGAAAGGAAATCAGAAGCTGGATTGGAAGAGGCAGAAAGGAGTACTCAGCCATTGCTAGAAGGAGAGTCCAATAGAGTAACTAATAGAGCTCCACGTATGAGAAGGAAGCCTTTAAGGTTTAGAGAGTCCATGTAATTAGTAGCCACGTGGGTAGCACGTGTTGACAGTTATTGTAGTTGAATAAAATAGGAGGAAGATTGTAGAAGACATTCATTCGATTGATTTCAATACAAAGGCATTCTGTTTTCTCATCTATATTCTCTGAATCTTCTCTTCTGTCTCTTTCTTCCCTGGGTCACTATCAAAACCCATATCACAATCCCTCTATAAATTAAGGGATATTTCAAATTTATTTATTTTGTCTATACCTTTATTCCTTTTTGACTGAGACTTGGATAATTCTATACAATTAATCTGTAAGCATGACTCTTTAAATGTGTATAATTATTTATGCAACAAGTTGTATAGCTAAGGATTATTTCTCCTTAGCCTAACTTGTGCACACCAAATCCGTATTTTTTATCCTGGAAGCAGTTAAGGCCACCTACATGATTCACATGTAAAACTCTTTAAAAAAAACATTAACAAACATCATAAATTGTGACAGTGATATCTTTATTTTTCCCTCTTATGTATATGTTCTAATTATTTATTTAATTGGACGGTTCCCCAGTTACAACACACAGCTGGATGATGATGAAAGGACGAAATACTAAGAACCAATAATAGTTGTCTTAGTTCACCGATGCATCACCCAACTTCCTAAAATCCCAATGAGCCCAATTATGTAGCTAATAAAGTAGCAAAGCCAGACCATTGATAAACTCTATTTATAGCATTAACATAGCAGAAATTGTTGTTCGTAAACGTGAACTTTAACTTTCAAAGCCAGCTTCCGATTCTGTGTTTGTTTCCAATATAGCTTAAAGAAAAATCACCTCACTTTTAGGTCTTTTTCTAATGGGGAACTGCTTACTATCTTCATTCATGTTGGTGCAATACCAGTGATTGTGATTCCACAAAAAAATACATGTCAAGAGCCTAGTACACGGCCAACTTTGGGAAAGGAGAACTGAATACCCTTTTTCTTTTCCCTTAATCCTACCATACATGTCGTAGGATATTTTTAGTGTAAAAGTAGTTAGGGTCAAATATACTTGGTAGAATACCAGAACAGGAAATGGCTTTACCTGGTGGGAAAAGTAAAATAGAGGTATATTAGTCCTCTGAAAACGTAGCAAAGATGTTAACCACAAACAGAAAGGTAGAGAGAGGCCAAAAAGAATTTTGTTGGGGGATGCATTTTTCACATGGCTGAAAATGAACCACACACTCGACAGGGTACCAATATCTGGTCCTCAAAAAGGACAGGAGATCAAATGACACACTGTTCCCCAACACGTTTTCTTTGCCTTTTTTGTTTTGGCTCGATTCCATCACATAAAAATCATACTATTCCAATGATAGATAAGATGACCAAAAAAACACACAACTCTATCGGAAGATTCAGACCAAAAAATGTTCAATTCCATGGCTGATATACAAAACATACCACAAGAAACAGCATATTCAAAACAAACATAAAACACAAACGAAGGACATGATCAAAACCACAGTGGAAGATCTAATCACTTATAAGCTGAATAATAATAATAACCAAGAAATTTCATGAAGTTGAGTTCACGTTTGTGATAATTGATAAACATATATACAATCTAGACAGATAATATTAACACAAAAATAGTCCATTTTGACTTCATCAGAGCTGCTACCTATCTTTGCTCCACAGATTTGAAGCCACCCAGCTTGCCAAATCAAATTACCTCAAAAGTTTAGACTAAGCTACCAAAAAGCACTAGACCAAAATAAGAAAAGAACAGTATTTTACAGAGACAGCTATCGGGAAGCCACAAAATCTCCCTAAGCTCTACACCATCAGGAAATAACAGAATAGTATAGATCTTATGTATCCCAATGCTGCAGAGTCATCGTGCATCGCCAACTTTGGATGATAACGCTAACAGGAGCTGCTCCTGAGTATAATACTGATTTCCCATGTTCACCGTCGCTTGTTGGATCATTAAATCATTCACTACGGACACGCTGGCATGGTGCACATCCAAGTCCAGCTCCTTCAAAGCCGCCATCAATCTTGCCGCAGGGTGATTCTTCTTGCTGCATTGGATTCTAATCATCGCATCCCAACCTATAATCTTCACGTCTATTTCCAAATCAATCAGCTTGCAGTTCTTCACTTCTTTATCTGGTGGTGGTGGTGGTGGTGGATTTTTACTTGCCAGCTCAAGTTCCTTCTTTGCGGAATCCAATTGCTTCTCGAATGTACCTTTTTCTGATTCCAGCCCTTGAAGCTTCGATTTCAACTCGTTGATGTAAGATATAGCATCGCCAAGAAGGGACGCCTTGTCCATCTTTGAAACATTAGGAACCACCGCACGAAGAGCATAGAACTTCTGATTCAGCTTTTCTCTCCTCTGCCTCTCCGCTTCAACATGATTCAACGGCTCCTCTCTGCCATTTGCCGGCTTGCGCCCTCTCTTCCGGGGTCGTTTCTCCGGTTCCACCACTCTGCTGCTATCGTCCTCCTTCACCACAGAAGCTTCTAGATCTGAATGGTCGGAATCACCGTCCCCGCCGCCGCCGCCGCCACCACCAGATTTTATATTCGATGCCGGCAAGATCACACCAGAAGTGAAGGAGAGAATTCCATCGTCAACGCTACTCCTGGAAGTAGGGGACCTCCTTTTCTTGTTCTCCTCGGAGGCAACGAACGGGGACGACTGACCGGAAAAGAAATTCCCGTTGGCGCTGTAAGAGGTCTTCTTGCTATCCCCGAAGCTAAGAATCTCGCCGGTTTCTGGCTTCATGGAACTTGAAAAGTTCAGTTCCCTCGAGAAGAAGCCATGGTTTATCGATTGCTGGCGTTGCTGGTGACTGTTAGTGTTGTTGGTAACAATAACAACACTAGGAGTTTCGGTTAGAGTACTGGAACCAGGGGTTTCAAACTGCAAGGTCTTGTCAATCGTTGTATTAGCCGAAGCAGGCGTAACGGTATTAACGGAATCCCTAATTTCGATCCCGCCAGAGGAATCGTTGAGCCAGAGCGAGGAAGGGTCGTTCTCGCCTTGATCGGCTGTAACAGAATTCAACGGCCATGAACCCACGTCGGGGAGGTTGTTGAAGTTGAACAAAACACGCACCTTGTTCATCAAATCAGTGTTCTGGGAAATCACTTCCGTGGACGCAAGCTCTACGACGCCGTTAGCTGATGGTATGCAAACCAAGGTCTGAAGCCCGAACACCTGGCCCTGTCTGGCTCGCTCGCAGGCCGAACCGGATAACCGGTCCGCCCCTGCGACCCAGATTGGGTTTGAATTAAAGAAAGCCTGGCCCGGCAGGCCGCTTCCGTTAACAAATGACTGAGTCATCGACACGAGGAAAAACCACTCGGTGTCGGTTACCTCTTCGTCCACGGCATAGTCGACGGAGGTGGAAGAGCCGGAGATCAGGGAATTCAGTTCGCGGAGGACCTTCTTGCGGTGGTCCTGCTCAGAAGACGACGTCGCTTTGGGGAGTTTGCCTTTTCCTTTGTCCTCCTCGCCTTTGTAATAGCCGTCGCCCCAGCCGAGTAAGGAGGCGCCGGAGGAATAATCGTAGGAATATTGCCAGAAGATGGCGTAGGTCCAGCTCTCCCTGGCGCCCTCGATCAGCGCCTGCAGACGCTGCTGTAGGGTCTCTTGGTTGAATAGAGGCTGCGATTGCGCCGGAAACGGCGGCGGCGGGGCTCTGATCGGGTCGGGTCCCGGAGTTGTGGTGGATGTAGCGGACGGGGTTAGCCAGAGGGAGGAAAGGTCGGAGGAGGAGCTCATGAAAGCCTCCATCACGGAGGAGTTGTCGTCGGTCCAGATATTCATCGTCGGCGGTGACCGGTAATCCATTATTCCATGCACCGGTCAGTTGAATTAGTTGAAAGTGAATTGTTTGTCCGGTTTTGGCGGCTGAGGAGAGACCGGAAGTGGTGGAGAAGTAGGTGGGGAATGATGTGCTGGCACACAGAGAGAGAAGTTATAAGTTTAAGAAGTGGGATGCCTTCGTGTTTGGGGTTTATTTGGAGTGAATTTAAGTTGCATTTTAGGTTTATGAAGATGAGAAGAGAGCGAAGTGTGTGAGGTTTCGAGGAAAAAGGCAACGCCGATTAAATTGAGAGATCTGGAAAAATTACGGCTTCTATTGTAACCCCAGTGGAGTATGCAGGAACTCTAGGGAGTGTAGGTAAATGTAGCACGTGCGGACGACGTGGCAGTGGGTGATTGAGTGCACCGTGTCATGACTGGTGTGAGAAACAGGTAAGTTATGGATGGTCAATAATTCGAGATATTCTTTCAATTTTATTTATTATTATTACCTAACTGTGGCTGCCTGCCTTTTTTTACTTATTATTTTCTCTTTTCTTTTCTTTTTTTTTCTTTTCTTTTTTCCCTTTTCCTTTTATTTATTTTATAAATATTGCGGATGCTGTGCATAATTATCTGCAGCCACCAATTTACTAAAAAAAATAAAAATTCTCTTTTCCTTTTTCGTTCCTACGGATGAGGACCGATGCCGCTTTATACCATGAAGAAAACACCTATTTCATTAATTACTCCATAAAATAATTTTAAGAAAAAAATATAAAACACCATCAAACAGACCGATTATTTCCAGTTTGTAGTGGTAGTACCTCTTGTAATTATATTTTATTATCAAATTTTTATTTTAGTTTTAAAATATGAAAATAGTGTTTCTCCAGCCACGAGATAAAGATATTTCCAACAACTTAAAAAAATGTCATTTTCAGGGTTTGGGGAATTAATGAATAATATTTTAGGAATTTTTTTCTATAAATTTTATAAACCCTTAAATACATTTCACAATGTTATGAATTTTGCACATTATATTTGCCGTGTCCCTGGACATTTTCTATTTGAAATTTTGTATTCATTCATGTCTTAATTTGTTTTTTTGGTAACATATTTATTCATGTCTTAAAAACTAACTTATTAAATAACTATGTCGACTTAGTTTAAAATGTAAATTTGATATAAAATTAAATCGGGTAAACTCATCAAATTCATTAAATATCATTTAAATATAAATTATAATTTTATCAAAATATATTAAATACAAGTCTAAACTGTTTTATCAAAATGCACAACATATAAGTTCAAATAAAATTGTAAAAATACATCAGAACACAAATTTAAATTTTAAGTAAAGGTCTAAATTAATTTTAAATCACACAGTATATATCCATATTCAAGAGAAATAATAAAATTTGCATTATGCTATAATAGGAAATTTCTTTAGTGAGTATGGAAATATGAAAAATTCTTTGGTAAATTATTATTATTATATCATATTAATTTCAATTCAATTTGGAATGATTCTATTTTCAAATTTAGGCAAAAATTAAATCAATTTAATTAATTTTTTTTCAACTTTCCATGTTTTTATTTCAGGGTTCTTTATTTGTTGACTTATTTGTTCAGATTTGATTAATTAGTTTTGTTTTAAACACTCTTACGCATCAAATATGCAGAACTATATGTATAATACAATATTGTAAAACTCGCTTTGGTTATTGACTTGGTCTAGTTATTAAGTTATTAATCACTGGTTTAATTAACGAGTGTTTAATTGCTTAAACCGATTTGATATGTATAGATCTATAATTTATACATAAAATATATATATATATATATATATATATATATATATATATATAATATGACTTAATACAATCTAATAATTTATATTGTATTTATTAAATTTTTTTGATAATAATGTTTATTAATTATTTAATTATGTTTTATTCACTTTTTTAATAAACTTTAAATAGATAAAGTAATTATAAACAATGTATTTATAATAGAAAATGTGTTTGTCATTTTAAATGACACAAAATTATGTCATTTTAAGAGAGATACAGATACAGAAAATTTGAATTTTAAATTAAAAAAAAAACTACTCACTTTCTCTCTCCCATGATTTCTGTTTTTCTATATCTATCTCTCTCCTAAAATGACATAACTTATGTTATTTAAAATTACAAACACTAAAACCATTTATAATATACAAATCATTGGAGCCAACATCAGCCCAACTCAAATTATCCTATACTTGCGGTATCAGTAAAAGCCTAATTAGAAAGCATAAAAATTAAAAAATATAATTTTTAAAATTCAAAACTTAAAAAAAAATATTAATAAAATTTTATACTTTTCAAATACCTATATTCTAGAACCCCTCAACTAATTTTGGGAAGAGTTAAAAAATCTTCCTAAAATTTTGCTTTGAATCACTTATACCTCTGCTTTTTTTTTTAATCCCTTACTCTATGATTTTTTTCATCCAAGTCCATTTTTAACATCATTAGAAACTCAACTACTCTATCTATTTTATAGAATAAGAAAATGGACTAGTGACAGAAATAAAAAAAGACCAAATATGATGTAAACTTACAACACTTACAAAAAAAAGTACAGTACAAAAAAATAATAGAAGAAAAAAGATCAAATATGTTTGAATCAAAAAGAATAAAAAATAAAGGAAAAATAAGACCAAATATCTTAAAAAATTACAGATTTCTTTTTCTTCTATTTCATTTTCTTATTTTTTGCCTTATATTTTATTTTTTTGTCTTTAGTCTATTTTCTTATTTTTGAAATAGAAGAAAATATAAGACAAAAAAGAATAAAAGAAAAAAAACCAATTTGTAAACTTTCAATATATTTGGTGTTATTTTTTTTATTTTTTTGTCCTCAATCTATTTTTTCTTTTTTATTTAGACATTTTTGGTCTTTTTTTTCTTCTGTTTATTTTTTGTCTTCAGTTTATTTTATTTTTTAGACTATATATTATTATTTTATTTTATTTTAATCTTTTATGCTACTGTTATAAGTTTCAAGTATATTTGGTCTTATTTTTTATTCTTTTTTTGTCCTTAGTCTATTTTCCTCCTTTTGATTTAGATATATATATTTTTTTTCTATTTATATTTTTTTTCATTTTTAGTCTTTTTCATAAGTATTATAAGTTTCCAATATATTTGGTCTTATTTTTTCTTCTTCTTTTTTGTCATTAGTCTATTCTCTTATTTTAAGAAGGGTAAAATAGGTACAATAGTTTCTGGGTCCATGACCCTTTCTATTTACCAAAAAAAAATAGGTACAGTAGTTAAGTTTCTAACGGTAAACGATTAAAATGAAAGCATAGTGGTGTAAGTGATTCAAAGCAAAACCCTCTCTCTTCACTCACCTTTTCTTTCTCTATCTCTTCATTTTTCCACCTTACTATTCTGCTCTTTATTTCACACTCTTCTTTTCTCTCTCTTCATTTTACCGCTTCCCTTTTTGACTCTTTATCTCACCATCAAATGTTCTCTCCATTTTTTTTTTGGTAGATGGAAAAGGCAGAAGCCTTATACCAAAACAATAAGAAAAAATGTAAAACATAAACAACCAATAAAATGCACGACTATCACCAGATCTGTAACACTTCGTGTGCACCCAGTGTATTAAACATACAATGGTATTAAGCATAGCTTAATTAAATACGGAAGCTAATTAATTATATTACAAAAAGTCCTTAATTCATTATGCGACTTAACTTTTTCTTTTTTATCTTTATTCACCATATGTATTGCAATAACACCATAATCACATATATGAAAATGCACACGTCCTGTCTCAAAATCATAATCAAATATTAGTCATGTACTTGCATCAAGTAAGCATGACAACATTCATATACCATGGTGTATACAAATACATAACCTGCAAAGCATGACAACAAGATTATTAAATAATAGCATAGATAACCCCTATGCTCACATCAAATAATAACATAATACAACATGTCTAGTCATAATCATGTCTCATAATAACAAAAGTGATAATCATAAATATATATGTCTCATGGCATCATGCAATCTCTACGCCGGCCTCCTGCCTCTAGATGTGTTCGTCTCATGGATATCAGCTCCTGAAAATGTGCCCCTGAAGGGGTGAGATTTTGACAAATCTCAATAAAATAAGGGGTCCTCACGGATTTCTCTGCCCCAAGCTTACTTACAGGTATAATAAGTATGATAAAATAATAAGATGCATAATGCTGGATATATAGCATGTAATATGTGCATCATAAAAATCTACTGACCAGAGATAAGTACGTTTTACGCACGTATACAACCTACTAACAAGATATATGAGGCTTCCCTTCATACCCTACACCTAGGGACACTGCCTGCACATGTAGGACACACTACTACATCCACATATATATCAACACCTTATGCCAGAAATCATTTTCAAATATATCAGATAAATACGTGCATAAATCATTTCCGGAAAAGCATATCATGCATATAAGCCAACCCCCATGGAGTTTGGTGGAACAAACAGTGGATTAATCCGATAACCGAAAACTTACTTGTTAAGCAGAATACACCAAAATAACCTCCAAGTCCAATCGATCACAAAACAACAGTCCACACAGTATCACAACCTAGATTTTACATACAAATCCCGTCAATAGTAATAATCTAGCTTTTCATGCCTAACGGGGCTCTATTTTCTTTTTCGTTTCGTGCACTGAAGGCTTCTTCCAAAGCTTCAACCACTCAAACATGAAGATTATGACTTAAATCCATTTTACAGAGGTTCATATTACTCATTTAAGGGTCCTAGGTTCTTTTGGACAAAATAGCATAAAACTCGAAAACTGCAGAATATCTGGATATTTCCAAACCCATATCTGGATATCACATTCGAGATATCCGGATATATCACGACAGAAATGCATTCTTCATGAAAATATCCAACAAGATTCCAATTTTAGGCATAACAGAGGTCCAATCTTCTATTTTTATATGTTTACATACTACTGGTTACTTGGGTTATCATGTTTACTCACTTTTCATGTTCAAGACTCAATATTTTTCATAAAAACTAAGAGAGAAAGGGTGAGACATATACCCAATGCTTCGAAATAGAAAAAGGAAGAAGCTTTAAAGACTTTGGTACTACTCTAAGCTACTGCCAAAGAAGGTGCACGAATTTTAGCTCCCAAGCTTAGTCCTTTTTTCACAAAGATAGTTCCTTGGTGCTCTAAAGTGTATGCAAATAGCTCAAACTCACCCAACAAGGAAGAACAGTCCCCAACCCTCACCAAACATCAAC